TTTTTTCATGCATTGGAGAATGAGAAACCGAAAAAATGTTTTTCGTATGTTTGATGTTTGGTGGCGTGGATGGTCTCCTCGGGGCCATGGGGAACAGCTGCGCGGCAAACTGCACGCCACCACTACGTCCGAGCACATGTTTTTACCTTCTACTATGTTTCTCTTCTACCTTCGACTTCTGCGTTAACTTACGCATACGCGTACTTCTTTGGTGGAGTGAATAAAAATGCAGTGGAGCTGATGGGCGCCAAAAGCCCATGCAGCATCTCCGGCAGCTTTGGTTGATGCTTTTTTGAGCTTTCAAAAAATCATAATAGCCTAAACACATTTCTAAAGAAGCGACATATGCATACTTACTGCTTTATAATGGAGAAGAGTGTGGAGTGTATGAGTAGAGGAACATACGGTGTGGAATATATCTGATTACACGTTTGGGTGATGGCCAAATTGTGATTTTTGAGAGGAAAATTTTAATTGGGGAAGAAGTAAAAGATATAAAAAGATGAAAGTAGTGTAGGGTTATTGTACATTAAATTGTGATTAATGTGTGTTAAGTATGGAGGTTTAGGACTATCGGTTACAAGATGGCAGCACTCCAAAGTTTTATTTGTGTAGTAATTTTACTGAAACTTTAAAGTTGATTTGTGGAAAAACTATAAATGATAGAAAGTTGATTCTTTCGTCAAATTATAGAGAATTAAATAGAGTATATTATGTATTAAAACTAATATTGTGCTAATATTTGACTATAGGTGGCGACACTTTGAAAATAATTTTTGAAGATAATAATGAAAAAATGTGATTTTTCTCAAAAAAATAAAAATTACTTAAAAACCAAAAATTTTAAAAACCTGAAATTTTCACTAATTTATAGAACATTAAATTTGAATTATTATAAACAAAAATTAATAGTTCTATCTCTATTAGTTTTAAAATGGCAGCAATTTGAAAACTAAAACACAATTTTTTCTAAAATTTTTAAACTTGATTTCCAATAAAACTAAAAACAATAAAAGCATAAAACTATTTGCACCTAAAATATAATAAAATAAAGTCACCTAAAACCGTTTTGAGAAAGATAAAGTCACTCAAAATATAATTTCATACGACTTCAGCACTTTTCCTCACAGAATTTACAATTTCTGCAACGTAACGCGTTAAACCCAGCTTTGCGATAAAAATTGAATTTTTCACTTACGTCATTGTCGATAAATCAAAGTTTAATATAATACTCAGCGCGAATGCATTCTGCGCGCATCGCCATCTCCATTGTGCGTGCCCCGGCCTAAGACGATTTCCTCGGCTGCGCGGTGTGCGCTATCCAAATATAATCCATTACGCTATTATCGAACCCCATAAAAACGTCATCGTCGACAATGCGTACTTGTTCCCGCGCGAATGGGCATTATTTCGCATTTGCATTTGCATTCGCACACACACATAATACCTAACACGAGGGTCGAGGTGGAGAATGATGCGCGTTGGGGTCGCGTCCGGTAATAAGCGGAAATACCTGTATTGCGGATTAGGCGCGAAAAGTGCACGAGCAGAAAAAGAGAAACGAAAAAAAACGTTATAGGGTGCCCCTAAATATATTTCGGTATAAGTGTAAGTAATAGGTACTTTTGATAACAGAGGGTAAAAAGTGAAAAATTTAAGAAAAATTGTAAAAATTTGTTTTTTGGTGTTTTTAGGTTAAATTTTATGTTTTTTGGTTGAGCTTTCATAGGAATATAACCAAAAATTTAATATTTTTATGTTTTTAGAGGTTATGTTCCAATAAAAGTTGTTTTTGACGTTTTATCATTGATATAACCTAAAAATTCGTCAATTTTTGTTAATTTTTCATTAATAAAAGACTTTTTCACACTTTTAACTCAATATTTCATAGTTTTCATAGGAAATCTTTGGATAAAAGCAGTTTTTACTAAGTTTTGACATTGATATAACCTCAAAACTCAATTTTGTTTAATTTTACGTGTTTAAAACACAATTTTACGCACTTAATTCAATATTTTCATGTTTTTATAAGAAAACATTAGTAATTTTTATGAAAAATGCAAAAATACCAAAAACACATTACAAGGTGTCCCCTAAATATATTTCAACAAAAATCTAAATAATACCTTCAATAACAAACCGCAAAACACGAAAATTTTGAAGAAAATGTCTAAAAACTCAATTTTTGTTTTTTCACGTGTAATTTAACATTTTTTATTCGATGGTCAATTGAAGGTCACCCCAAAACCATGTCACAAACATCTATTCATCATTTCGGGCATCAACTTAAGCCTAGCAGATGTGCGCCAAGTTGACGCATGGCACACGCTGCGAAAAAAGTCTTAAGAAACGCACCCGCGGCACGAGCCACGCCAGATTCTCGTCTATTCTAACCTCGAAGATGACAGATGGTCGCTGGGATGTGTAGAGGAGCGTGGACCATAAATTTTTGAATGTGCGCCTTTCACAAAACGCACTACTTGAAAGAAAACGATAGCACCTTCGGCCCGCGCGCCGGAACAACATAAGGGAGCCCATTCAGAGGTAATCGCCAAGATGGCATACGGCACGCACCACCACACAATCACAGACAGCCGCACAACACCAGGTTTCACAAAATGTGTGCAGAAAAATTCGCAAAATAAAATTTTAATTAACTTCCAATGAGGTTGATATATTACCCATACTTTTACTCCTGTATTAACCACAAATGTCATCCAATTAAAATTAATTTAAAATTACGTTCCAATATCCAAACGGAAAAAGGGGTTAAACTCCCATTTTCATTCCAGAGAGTATTATATATGTGTGTGTGTCATGTCCGTTACGCTACTTCTGCGCCCCGTCCGCTATATTTAAGTCGGGGCTAAAAATACGCGTCTACGCCGCCGCCGCATGTGTTTTTTATAACGCGCAGTCTCGATCCGAATCGAGTCACTTCATTAAGGCCTGCGCAGCCCAATAATAAAACACACGACTCAATATATGCTACGAGTATATTCTCATAGAAGTAAAAGTTGAGAGTTGAGAGTTTAGAAGCGTAATATTGAGGTTAGGTTGTTATCGTTGCGGGTTGGCGACGACCTCAAATGTTTGCGTTCATGCACGTTTTACGGGCAAACGCGTAAACAGTACGGATGATTAGGAAATGACTAAAAATACGGATACTTGATTCTATATTGCGTAGGTTCACATTGAAGAACATGTTGGGGTGGATTGGTTACATGTTTGGTGATTAACTGAGTTTTAAAGATGTAATTTGGTGTTTTAGGTGTTTTAGGTGTGGTTTTGTGTTACTAATAGGGGAAATTTTTTTTGGTTGTGTTTTTATATTGGTATAACCTAAAAAATAGAAAATTTATTTAAAAAAATCAATATTTTTGTGTTTTCCTCGAAAAATTGTCAAATGAAAGCAGTGTTTTGATGTTTAGACGTTGACATAACCTCAAAATTGTATTTTGTGGAAATTTACGTGTGTAAAATGCTATTTTAAACATTTGAATTGATATTTTGAGGTTATTATTAATTTTTATTGTTTAAAAGCTAATTTTTCTAAGTTTTACCATTGAAATAACCTAAAAAATCAGCTTTTTGTTAATTTTGCGTGTTTAAAAGACGTTTTTGTGCATTTAAATCAATATTTCTACGTTTCTAGAGCAAATAATGAATTAAAATCAGTTTTTATCAAGTTTTGACATTGAAATAACCTCAAAATTTAATTTTGTTTAAATTTACGTGTTCAAAACACAATTTTAAGCACCTAATTCAATATTTCCAAGTTTTTATAACAAAATATTGACTTAAATCAATGTTAACCCTAGTTTTTCATTGACATAACCTCAAAAATCAACTTTCCTCCAATTTTTCTCAATTTCAACCATTTTTACTCACTTTTGACATTCTCCTAACCTCCAAAATTACCCAATATGTAATATATAACTTTTACTTACTCTTGTATGAATCCAAAACATGTAGGTGTCGTTGAAATATATTCAACAAATGAAAGTGTTGTGTCTCGTCAAACACAAAAGGGAGGCGTGCGCAACATTTCTGCGCGTCTCGATATTTCAATATATTCCCGCTTGCCCAATCGCACAACAATACCATTAACTTATCAAGTGATTAGGCGCAGCATCGGGATGACTAATCGAATAAATTTCGTGGGCACGCGTACGCCGCGGTGGATTAAATTAATTCCGATTGCATCAGCGCGAAATGTGGAAATGTTATTCGCAGACACATTCATAAACACACGTTGTGTATAGCCTCACCCACCCCGAAAAACATATTGTCGAAATGTCGAACGCGATGAAAGCCGATAATTATACAATCTCCATCGGCCGGCGAAAGCAGCGCTCGTCAATGCAAGGCACGTTCCGCAAAACAAAGCGCATTAGGTGTGAAACGAGGGTTGCCTATAGTCGCCAGCTGCATGACATCTACAACCAACAATAAAACACAAAAAGTGAGGTTAAACATGTAAAACACGCTGTAATGACTTGCATTTTGTGTTATTTCATTTGAAACCTGTCCAAATACCACCGCAAACGCTAAAATTAGTTGTGAGTAAAATTCTGTGTCAAGTTTATCAAGGTTATGTGTCTTCTACTCACCAGAAATAAATTCAGTGTGTAACCCTTGGTAAGTAGCACTTGCCAAGCGGGTGTCACTGTAGAGGGTACCAGTATATTCGCTAAAAAGGGTTCGAATAATATTTCCAACTCACGGGGTATATTGGTATACGTTCACAACCCCGTAGCAAGGCGCAGCTGGCAGCTGGTGTCCTCACGAGCTTATATCAACGCCCTCGGGGCCCGGGTGTCGCCCATTCGAGGGTAGCACGCCGACGTGAACGCATCGCTTTTTCGCAAAATCAAACTCACACTCACCCCCCTCCCCTTTGCGTCGTCTGTTGTCTGCAGTTGTGCACTTACCGGATCCGACGTCGCTTGCGCGCGCGCTGTTGTGAGTGTAGTAGTAGTAGTAGGAAGACCGCGACCGGTGGTGTGCGTCGCGCTTCTTCTTCAGTCTGTAACCGACCGTCGACGTCGTTGGACGCGTCGTGCGCAAAACGAGCATATTACACACGCGTTGTATTCGTTTCGTATCATATCGTATAATACATAGACTGTGAGAGTGTTTTGTTTTGCATATATACACACATAGAGGATTATTTTGCTGTGCATCGCAACTCAACGACTTTTGTGCAAGATTTTGTGTGTTGTTTGATTTTTTGATTTGAAAAATCAGCGAGAGAGTGTATTTTTCTTGCTTGTGCAGTGTTTTGGATGAATAGCATCCTCTGAGGCTGGTGGCTTATGGCTCTACGCGGTGCGACGCTGAGGTAACAGCGCGAAACAACTTTGTTCCTCAGACCAGCCAGATACCAGCATATCATCATCATGTCTTGGATACTTTTTGCATTCTTTGTTCTTCTGACTTTGTCTCATCAGGTAAGATCCATCTCAAAAAAAATTTTTTTTTTTGAAAATTTTTGGAAATTTTTTTACAAAAAAAATAAATTTTTACAGGTTTTTTCATCGGGAGTTTTTGAATTGCGTTTGTTATCCTTCGATAATAACGCAGGCAAAGACGACAACGGCAACTGTTGTTCCGGTGCACCTTTCGACTCTGTAGACCCGCAAGCCCCATGTCTGGAACGCTGTTCACCGCGTTTCCGGGTATGCCTGAAAGAATACCAAACGCACATCGACACCAAGTCCCCGTGCACCTTCGGAGATGTCATCACCAACACCCCGGAGGATGGCTTCGCGTCTCCCATACGCTTTCCGTTTCCATTCACATGGCCGGTAAGTCTTCTTCTTCTTCTTCTTTCAATAGATCAAATAATATACACACTACATACACACACGTGCGTGTCGTTTCCGTTTGGCGAGTTCACCATGCCTCCATCTTGTCGTGTGTGAATAAAAAGCACACACAGGTATGTCGACCGGCTTCGGCTCTCATTTGTATGAGGAGGACGAGATTGCGCGCGGCTGCACGTGAGCCGGTAGCGTGGCGTACGCGTAAGAGCCGTGGGAAAAAGATCAAGACGAAATTCCATTAATTAATAACACTGGTAAACAAGTATCAGAGATATTCGATCAGTTTATTACTCAATCATGCAGAACGGATGTTTTTATGATGCGCTGGATGCGATTATTTAGAAGTTAATAGACTTAAGTCATTATAACCTAAGAAAACAAAAGATAGGTTATGTTGGTTATGTATTTTCGGGGTGCAATGGTGCGTATGAGTAATTTTTACATTATGCGCATGAAATTCGAAAGCGTAACTCATTAGTATTATGTAAATATGTTTGCAATAAAATTAATAATTAATAAACGAAATTAATTTCATCTGTAGTGGATAAATTTTAGTGTTTTGTTGCTGCGCGGAATTGGAAAAATAAAATAATAAAGCGTGGAGAAGAGAAGAGAAGAAAAAATGAAGGCGGTTTCGAAATGTTATTTTCCCACAATTTCGAGCGCAGTAACAAGAAGCACACACCAGCACACGATGCGACGACGACGACCACGAAGAGGTGAGGTACTCGCGCGGCGCGCACTCGACCGGTTTTATTATTGTTTGCCGGTGTGGTGCCGGTGGAAGTCCTCGGCGCCTCTCGCTTCTTCTTCTCCGCTTCGCGTGAGTAAGACATGTTGGGACGACGCGTTTTGCCTCATAACTAAGTGCTCACTTACTTGGGTTTTATGCGCGCTTAGACGAACGACCCGGGCTTAATTAAAACGCGCCGGCGATTTAATAATTTCCACACACACACACAGAGAGAAAATAACATAACCACAATTTTTATTTTATTTTTAGTTATGTTATGTTATGTTATGTTCTATTACACAAATGTTATTTCTTTATATTTCGAAAGGTGGTATTAATTGTGCGTTACTTGCTTTGTTTTTTAGAACACATTTTCGTTGATCGTCGAAGCGTGGCATGGAAATAGTTCATCAACAGAAGGTGAGTGTTTGTTATAACATAAAAACTTTCATATTATATTTAGACACATATTGCACTGTATAAATACCTCTCGCATTCCATGCGCTAACTTAACAAAAAGTTAGCGCCCTTTATGTTGGATTTCACATTGAATGCGTCATGTTACGTAAAGATGGATGCGTCCGAACAGCTGTCCGAATGTTCTATTCACATAATAGAAATAGTGTCACAAAGCTAAAGTGAAAATTTCTTTAAAATTTTCTTCCAAGAATATTTCAGGTATATTTTTGCAAGCAGCTGCGTTTAAATCCACAACTTTCTTTAAAATACAACATAACCTTACTTATGATGTCATTTCCGTATGTATTACATGTCAATACGCATCATTATCGTAATGACTTCAACATTTCATTACGTTTATATCTTGTTTGTAAACCAACAAGAAAATAAAACGTGAAATGTGAAATATGCACGTTTTTCCCCTCTCGTAACTCGCAAAGCTGATTTTTATACATTACAATGCTGCCACTCACAAAGCCCCAGGGTCGAAACAAGGGGCACAACGCCAGGTGCGCTATAGTTTAACGTCTAACCGTCCTCCGCACACGCAACGAACCCCAAGTTAGACTAACCTAACTTTTATACCCCTATACATCGATATAATTCAAAATTCAATAAAATATCATCTTTTAAGTATGACTGCGTTTCGTGGAATCATACGAGTACAACGACATTATTCTTTATCTTATCTCCTTGGTGATGTACACGTGTGCATCGTGATCAAACGCCTGGTGTTCGTTTGTCGTTACGCACCACGTGCGAACGCGAAATTCAACAAACACGAAAAATCTGTTTACGATATGATATTCTCTTCAACCTCAGCTATTAATAATTAACTAATAAACACGCAGCCATCTTGTATTATACGAGTATAAAGGAAGTAAAAATATACTCACGTATTGCTAATGAGACATCTTCACACGTTATGATTCATGCTGAAAACAATGCTTTGAAGGTTATGACCAAGATGAGTAAAATGCAAATGGCTGCTCTCTGCGCTAGTTCTCACCTAAAATTAATTATTTTTTGTGTTTGCTTCTTGGTGCTTGATGATCGTATAAATTAACACATGGCGCTGCGCGTCGGTCGTATGGTGTGCGTGCCGTGATATAGACCATTAGCCCGGAAGTCCTTTAAGAAGGTCTCTCCCCTTATATTTTATACTCGCAGTCATCTCATCGCGTATGGTATTATCTGCTTCCGCTGCCACCACACTCACACATGTGTTAGTTTGGTTACATACCTTTGAGCAGACGCTATGCATACAATCTCTGTCATTCTGCGCGGAGGGTTGACCTCTGTCAAGGACACCGCTTGACGCGCTCTAATTTCTCGATGCTCGAGAGCCTGGGAAGAAATTAAAAGGAATAGTGGTGTAAAGGTGTTATACCGGATACAGCTGCCGCGGATAAAACCAACCGCAGGTGCAGAGAACACCGTCGTTCTGCTCTTGTTTCTTGTTTTATTCTTGGGATGTTTAAAAATATTTCCATATTTTCATTTCATACTGGTCCCCGTATATAATTGGGTTAGATCTAGATGTGTGTTTTCTTGTTGCAGTGCTGATATCACGTATGACTAGAAGCAGCTCGTTGACGATCGGCAAAAACTGGACGCATTACGAGCAGCGCGCCAAGTACGCAACGTTGCGCTTTGAGTATCGCGCTACCTGCGATGACAACTACTATGGGAAAGGCTGCGAGACCTTCTGCAGGCCGCGTGATGATGGCTTCGGACACTACACCTGCTCGCCGAGCGGCGATCACGTCTGCCACGACGGCTGGGACGGTGAATATTGTGCCAAACGTAAGTCTTTCAATAACTTTCACCAAACTAACCTACAACACAACTTAGGTTATGTTATGTTATGTCAAATTACATCATGTCACATAACCTCAAATACAAAACAAAACAATATTTGCGGATTGAATTTTGACTTGAGTGAATAATTGAAAGCTCTGCGGTATGCCGCAGTAGAGAATAAAAAAGTCGCGACAACGACGCGACGAAGACGACGAAATAACATCGTAAAGAAGTTCACCGCGTCGAAAGACGTGCTCGGCGCGCACGCCGTGCTTTTGCTCGCGACGACGCTCGTCTTCCCACGATTCCGAGGCATACCAGCCGGCTGAGACCAACAACCAACACAAATATAAAGCCTCTGTATGTGTGTGGTGAGAATATGTGAGACATCGACATCGCATCGGATAACGCGCCGTGCACATTGCACGCTGCGTCTTCATTCATCCTCTTTGCTTGGTGTATATCTTGGTGGTGGTCAAGTCAACCTCAACTCCGACCTATACGATTGGATTCCGAGCTTATCCACGGCTGCATCTCTCGCTCGCTATTTATATATTAATTATATATTATATCTAATTATAAAACGTGTTTTGTTTTGTTTGGTTGCGAGGAGATTGAGATTGAGGTTATGATGACATTGTTATGATGATGATATTTATGTTTGTGTTTTGTTGGTTGCAGCAATCTGTCTGCCTGGATGTGATGTTGAGCATGGTCATTGTAAGCAACCCTACGAATGCAGGTAGGTTATGTTTTATTTTATTTTTGGTTAAAATAGAAAATTGGCGTTTCCGGTGTGGTGTGTGCGTGCCGCGCGTCAATTTCAGCCAAAATCCGACCTGTAATTACCCACCGTGCGTATGGTGTGCCCATCTTTGGGATGTTAACGAATTACGGTAAATTAAATGCTTCCAAAGAAGTTCCCCCCGAATGGTCTGTAATTTTAAAGAAGTTAGATGGTGATTATCTCGAGACGTGCGCCATGGTCTATTGTCCGTACGTGTTGAATGGTCAAGCGATGATTTTTTTTTTTTTCATTTTGGAAGGTTTTTTCGGTGTACGAGCGAAAGTGCATCACGGGATGTATGATATCTGCACGTTTGCGTTAGTTTGGCGTTTGCGGCTTGGGACCTGATGGGCCGGCGACCCGCAGGTAACCTTTCCTTGACCTGCATTCATGCCACCGGGCAGCGTGGGAACCGCATCTCTGTGGGCGTGTGTGTTGCCCCCACCTGGCGGGTTTCGCGGTCCGCGAGCAAGCGAGATGTACTCAACTCCGGTGTCGTACTTACCTGGCAAGTCAATGAGCAACTCGCGCCGCTCGTTTCCCAGATTCACACACACACACACACACACACCGGTGCGCCGCGGAAATACATGATTTGAATATGAATGTTTGCAAGTGAACGTGGGAGCCATTAATTTCGAGATTTGCTCATGTGGTCTTTCTGTTTTCTGTTTTTCGTATAGCTGTAAGCCCGGCTGGGAAGGTGAGCTCTGCAACCAATGCCAGCGATATCCCGGCTGTGTGCACGGCACGTGCGTCAATCGCTACGAGTGCATGTGCGAAGAGGGCTGGGGTGGTCTCTTCTGCAACCAGGACCTCAACTTCTGCACCAATCACAAACCATGCCGGAATGGCGGCACGTGTTTCAACACCGGGCAAGGTAGCTACACGTGCCAATGCCCCGAGGGTTTCACCGGCACCGAATGTGAGATCCTCGTCAATGACTGCTTCAAAACCCCGTGCCAGAATGGAGGTACCTGTAGTCGACCAGCGAATTCATCCTATCACACATGCGTCTGCGCAGTGGGTTACCATGGTTTCCTCTGCGAAGACTCCTCACAAACCTGCCTGGATAATCCTTGTAAAAATGGCGGAAAATGCACGGACACCAATCAAGGTTATCAGTGTTCATGTAAGCCAGGCTACAGTGGCGCCGATTGCGAGCATCAAGTGAACGACTGCAATCCGAATCCATGCAAAAATGGCGGCAATTGCGTGGACGGTATCAACGGTTACATGTGTAAATGTCCGTTGGGGTTCAGCGGTGCGCAGTGCGAGATTAATATCGATGACTGCAAAGACAATCCCTGCACGAATGGCGGCACGTGCGTGGATGAAATCAACGGATTCCGCTGCGCGTGCGCGGCGGGTTTCGCCGGGCAATTGTGCGTCGATATCGTGGACTACTGCGTGACAAAACCATGCGCTAATGGCGGCACGTGCCAGCGTCTTACCAATGGCTTTCAGTGTATGTGCGCGCCTGGCTTCGCCGGTAAACAATGCGACAATGAAATCAACGAGTGCGAATCACAACCGTGTCAAAATGGCGGTAACTGCGTCAATCGGCTGCACGGTTTTGAATGTCAGTGTCCGCTTGGGTTTAACGGACGCTCCTGCGAAGAGGTGGCGACTAGTGCTGCCCCCAGTGCGCGTGTGTCCTCCGAGTCGACGCTGTCGACTGAACATGTGGTGGTCATAGCGACAGTGTCAACATTTGTGCCCATGTTGGTCCTGATTGCCGTCGGGGTGTTGATATGTCTGAAACAACGTCGTAAACGTGAGAAAGCCAAGGAGGATGAAGAAGCGCGTCTGCAGAACGAGCAGAATACAGCGCATAGTAGTTTTACAAAGCGTGGTACCACCATTGCACCCGACGCGCACATGATCAAAAACTCATGGGGGAAGTGCACGAATGTACTCAGCGCCCCGGATGAGTGCAACATGTCCGCAACCAGTGATGATGCATACCCAAAGAGCAGTATGCACATCGATGGACGATCGGTGTACACACTGCAGCGGTCACGGTCCCAGAAACAGTTGAATACTGAGCTGGGACCGCGAGCGTCATCTGCATTGCTTGCGGCGAAGTTACACGAGCCTGATTTTGATCATGTCAAGCGTTTATCTGTGATGTCTAATACCTCAGTTTGTGGAGCTAATAGGTAAGTCATCTTAATACAACACCCTGTATATTAATTTACTAAATGATTTTTTGTTTATTTTGTTACAGTTGCAGTGATTCCTCACTGTTAAAACGGCCAGTAGAGAAAGACGTCAATGGCGGAGTGTACGTCATCGGTGAGCACTTCCATCACAGTCCGAACGTGCTCGCGGACGCCCTCTATGCCACCGAGGTCTAAACCTAACCTCTCTCTCAAACACTTACACACACACATGTAGTTTAAATACCTATTTGGATCGGACTGAAACTGAAACGAACGCCGAAGTGTAAAAATATTTAAGGCAGCGTAAATTCGGCCACCGTACGACTCTGCAAGACTGACCTTTGTACATTTAACTATTTATTTGCTGTACGCCAACCATCGCGTCCGCCGCCCGGTGTCACGTGTGGCACGAGTGTGTTTTACGGTATTTATATGTATTATGAAAAATTGTATATGTTTATTAGATAATGTATTTATATTAAGACTGTGCATGCCTCCAGCTCTTTCCGGTTCCAAGTGTTGTGAAACGCGCGATTTTCGGTGCCAAAAAAACACACACACACACACACATATAGACATAGACACACAGAGAAGTGAAGATGAGATTTGTGCTTCCGATGACGCCAAACCCAGTGTGAAGAGACCGAGGAGACCGGTTCGGGCCGCTTTAATTGATTCGCTCGGTCTTTTTGTTTATAGTGTAAATATTAGCTGTGTAAGCCGATGACTCGGAGATGATGGTGACGCTCCTCTCTCATTCATTACGCGTTTGTTTGCACGTCGTGGCGTTTTTTTTTATTTTATATTATTATTATTATTGTTTGTGTCGTGTGGATAGTCAAGAGAGGCGAATCGATTAGCAGAATGCGGCGCCGGTGAAATTAACCAAAGATAAATATGTAAAGCTCACGGCGTCACCGGAAGCGCGCCATGTTGCGCACATAACCAACTCTCACACATCAACAACAGCTGAAATTTTTGAATTTTCGGGAATCATGCGTTGTGTAATTGTATTATAATTTTTCTACAAAGAAATAAGTTCCTGCATTTGTATAACTAAGTCATTGTGTGGTGGAGATTGGTCTGCTGTGTCAAGAAAATATTTATTTTTTTTTTAAATAGAAAAATAAATGTTTTCTAGGAGATGGATTAATTTCTACAGTGTATTAAAATTATCTTTTTTCAATTCATAAATATTTTGTGTTTTTTTGGTGAAATTTTAGCAAAAAACACAAAAAATAAAAATTTTGTGTTTTTTTTTTTAATTTTTGCAAAAAAAAAACCACAAAATTTAAAAATTTTGATTTTTGAAAACAAAAAAAACACAACACAAAAATAAAAAATTGTGTTTTTTTTTGAAATTTTAGTAAAAGAACACAAAAAAAATAAAAAATTTGTGTTTTTTTAATTTTTGCAAAAAAAAACACAAAATTTAAAAATTTTGATATTTTAGTTGAAAAAAGATAATTTTCCAGGTACTTTTAGTACTTAATCGAACGAATGATGAAGAAATTATGTGATTTTTGTACATTTAACTTAATTATTACGTCGACTTCTCTCTTTTTACGATATTTTTGTGTAAAATCTCGCAGCTTAACGAAAAAACACTTTTCCTTCATTACACATACATACACACACACTCGATGATGGATGTGTTCATTGTTAAATATTTAATTTATTTATTTTTTATATCTATTAAATATAATATCATGATGATTACGATTTGATTTTTTTCTGTTTTTTATTTTTTCTTTGCTGGATTTATTTTTGGTGCGTTTTAATTGCGATTCGCGTCGAAATTACAATTTGTGTAACTGTTCACCAACAACAACGCCAACTTCAACCGCTAGAAAGGAGGAAGCGAAGCATCAAACATTATGCTTCGACTTCCCATTATTTCGTGCTTTTTAATACGCGCATTAGCGTCGCCCAGCGCCGTTCGCATTCTTAATTATCCATTAATTAGTTTAATTGGCTTCGGTTTTTTTTTCCTTCTTTTACCTCCGCGCGCATATTCATGTAATATGTAACACAATGTGCGTCCGTGTTGCTCCATCATCAAGTGCTGTATTCATTTGTGAGAGCAATGTTAACATCGTCGATTGATGCAGACTTCGTTTTTCTTCGATTACTGTAATTATTGTACAATGAAGGACTGGTGATACTGTTTTTTCTGTTCTCTTGTTTGTTTGTTTTTGATGTAAAACTACTTGCGCTGTTCGATGATGATGAATATTTGAGAAAATGCCTTCGGTTTTGTTTCTTTCTTTTTTTTGTAACATAACGTGTACATTTCGCTAGCGTGTAAAAACATTATTGTCAATATTAGCTTAGGCATTGTTTCTTTATGAATTATTCTTTAGAGAAACGGCTGTATTGTTCCTCCGACGAATAATATATTTTCAAGTTAATTAAATTCCGTTGTAAAAATATACTATTGTGTTTTATTTCGATTCATATTTGAAGAGAAATGTTACTTAATTATATATGAAACAGTTTTTATATACTTTTAACCTAGAAATACTCCTGAAGTCCTGCAACCCAATATACTTCGCAGTAAAATGACTCCTGGACTAATATATAATATACCTACTAGCTTTAACCCGCGGTTTCGCTGGCGAAATTTAGTTATAAAAATTTCATTTTATGTTAATTCACAAAATTTACAAAAAGTTGTTTTGGAAAATTGCTTGTATTTCCGAAACTATTAAGCAAAAATTATTTTTTTAAACAGAATTAGAAAGGTAATTAAATTCTCTATCAGATTCATTTTAAAATATTTTATAAATATTAAAGAAAATAGCTCGAAATTAGCTTTGAAAATTAGTTTTTCAATCATTCCCCAAGCTGTAATTTCACGCAAATTGTTTCATCATAGACGTGATCTTGGTCACAATGCGAGCAATATTTGTTACTAGCTTTAACCCTTGGCTTCGCTCGCGAATATCTAAAATAATGAAGTTGCTTCCGTACGCGTCTGTAGTCACAGAAGAAGTAACAATGAAGTAGAATGGCGGGAAGTTTAAAATGGCTGAAAGTATAGTCAATGGAAGTATAGTGTACAGTCTCCATAGTGTAGTCAATTGGATTTGATGTTGACGTAGCTGTCGGTAATACAGTGTGATAATACAGTGTGATGGTACTATAGTACTTAGGTTTGAGCTTCATTGCTGGAATGCTAGATGGCGTTAAAGTAGTCAAATAGCCAGATGCAGAGGTATTATTGGCTAAACAATTTCTTTATTTTATTTAAAAATTAATTTTTTTATTAAATAAAAAGTAGCCTATAACCATTCGGGGACCACTAAGAATATGTGTACAAATTTTCATGATGATCGGTTAAGTAGTTTTTGCGTGAAAGTGTAACAAACATCAGGACTTTCGCATTTATAATATTAGTAGGGATGTGAAATGAAATAATGGAAAATTTAATTAAAAAGAAGATTAATTGAATTTCATTGACAAAATATGCAAATTTCTTCTATTTTTATTTATATTTTGTTTTATATATCAATTTATTACATGAGAGTAAAACCCCTTACAATTGCAACCCTATATACACCACAGCAATACAACTCCTTCTTTCACTTACATTTAACCCTCAAAAACCCCTTAAATCCCGCAACCAAATATACATATTCATGAATATAACTCCTTAACCATAATGCAACATTGTAACACCCAGCATCGAAAGGGAATACGTGAATATCATGAACTCGATCGTTTTACGATCGCGCCGTGCGCCGCAGCCGGAGGCAATCGAATTCTATATTTCATTATCGATCGCGAGCGTTTCCCATGCAATTATGCGCTTGTCCACCACTTGCACTCGGACTCTCATTGCACTCGTGTACTTATACACTTCAAACATCCAAGCGAACAGGAGACGAAGAAGAAAGACGAAAGAAGAAAAAAACACTCGTGCATTACCAGAGCGCGGCGTAGCAAAAACTGCTTTTAATTATATCTCGTTGGCAACGATGAAACTTCATAGGTACTTACTTAATACCTTCTCGTTCACATTCAACAATCACGAGTCTTGCCGCGTTGGTATTTATTTATTTGTTGTGTGCAAATGAGCGCAATAAAATTTGCGCGAATTATAAAATTACTGCGTCGGCTGGATTTCCGAGAGAAAAACGCCGATTTGTTTCCAAGCAGGAGATACAGACTCCCATCATAAACTATAAATAAAATAGCGTGCGCGTATTAAGCGCGGACGACTTTAATCGGTCTATAAACGCATTAATTGCGCATTAACGACGCAACGACGCGCACCGACCGTCAATTAAACGCTGAATTTGTTTAATTTCCAGTCGAATAAATCATATACAACTATTTTAAATCAACAAATGTCAAAAGAACTTGAAATACAATTTTTAGCCTTTAAAAATAAAAGAATTGCGATTTAAGTAAGATTTTCATGTGAAATTTTTATCTAAAAATGATTTTTTATCATTTGAATCAAGTTTATTGAGAATTCAGCCTGGATGTGGAAATAAAAAATTTGTTTAAAAATTCATTTTTTATCATTTGAATCAAGTTTATTGAGAATTCAGCCGGGATGTGGAAGCATAAAGTCGTTTTCTTTGTGTGCACGCGTTCCCACGGCGAATCGATTAATCGATGAGCTTTTAAAACTTTTATTCGCTATTAACTCCGAACCAGTTTTTATTACAACCAAATAAAATCAATATTCTACCTTTGGTCAAGTTACAATCAAAATAATCACTTTTAATTCGTTAATCTTGTTAATTTTATAAATTTTATTAATTTTGTTACGTTAAACGTGTGCCGAAGTTCCTTTCTCCGGTGAAGTGGCGATGGTGTGGATGGTGTGGATCTAAGAAATAAGAAAACAAAACGCGACATTCCGATGCGAAGATGCTTCCTCGCGTGAAAGTAGTGTTGCGAGTTTTGCGGGCGCGGAGTATGTAGGTGAGTAGTGAGCGCCGCGCGGGCGCGCATTACCTGTAAGCGCGTACCTGTTACTTACCTATTGCTGGCAGGTTCGTTCCATCGTTCATGGACCGTTTGTCGGGCTACGCCGACGCGTATACCAAGCGTCCGATGCGAAATCACAGTCAATCAACGTGTGTAATGTGCGTTTCAAACGCCAACAATCACAAAAATCGCAGAAATTCAACAAAAATCGATTTATTTATACTTTTTCAATGTATTATACTGTTATACACTAAATTTTAATGTTTAATTATAAATTAGAATGTTTATAATTAAAATAAATTGATAATCTGTGTAAAATTGTTTAATTTTATGGGAAATTAGTTTTATGTCATGTTATTTGAGTTGCCTATGTTTCTATTATTTTACGTGTACGTTCTAACTTAAGAAACATTTGTAAATCATTGATAATCCGACAAATTTTGCTTGTTGTGTAAGTTTGATGAAAGTTTTAATTTAATCACAATGTTTTACCAACGCTTGTTGAAATAGAAGAGCTTTACGTCGACAATTAGGACTAGAAAGCCCGGTGGAAACATCTAATGAGAAGGGAGCACGCTAGGAAACAAAGTTTTAAGCGTTTTAAGCGTTTAAGCTAAGCCCAAGGGCCCTGAAAGACTACAACACGAGTTTAAGCCGAAGAACAAATTGGAATAAAGATACTTAGACCTGTTAGGAGTGAACACAGCACAAATTCGATGAGCGCTTAGCAAATAACCGTAAGTAAAAGCTTCCATCACATTTTCAACGTAATAAAATTTAAATTTAAAGAAAAACGCAAAAATAATCAAAAATACATTAAACAGGTTATGTTTTGACATATAGGTTATTAAACTACAACACTTGAATCATAGATGGCGTAATTTAACTTTGAAATAATTACATTCAACACCCTGTATATCCCGCGCTGGATAATACAAAGAAAGCCCGAAAGTGATCCGCGTCTATTTTAATCCTCGCAACAGCTTAATGCCGTTCATTTGTCTTCAACTACCGAGATACACAAACGTGTTACACAAAGTTCAAGTCCGGAACAATCGATGAAACGATGATGAGAACAACACCCAGGCGAACAAAACAAAAGAATAAAAACAAATTAAATTAGAAATGCGCGCGCGTATAAATCGAAATAATACAGTGTATAAACCTACTTTCGTTTGTTTGTCTAGTTTTGAGGTTATCTCCACACACATTACACGTGTGATAACCTATTTGTTTGCATTTGCTTATTTTGAGGTTATACCGGTATTTCGAGTTAAACTAGACGCAACTACAGCTAAAGATGCTCAGATGCAGGCGGTAAAGCACAAGACGTTGAAGAAAGGTCGCGATTTCCGAGTTCATGACCCATGCGCCTAGCGATGGCTAGCGCACAGTCATCGTGCGCGCATCTTCGTGCGGAATGTCTGCAGGAATGCCAGCAATGACGCAAATTCCGAAAAGAAGTCCATTGATGACGTCAGTTATTATAATATGCAGTCGGTAATTGAGTGTTGGTCTAACGGGCGTAAATTATTTCTAAAATAGCACAATGTTGCACATTTACTCGTTCTGTACGCAAATTGTTCGGAATATGGATAAATTATAATAAAAAGTAAATGTAGATTGTTATAGGTTGGCAATTTGCATTCCGAGCGTGCGCGTTTGTAATTAATATTTTTATGATTTTCATTAATTACGTGTGTGCACTTTTTTTATTTATTAGCCGGCATTAAGTGTAACGATGCGCACACTCTCCTCTCACTATACGTGGTTATATAGTTAG